CTTCTTTTGCAAGACAGGCTCTATCGCAGTGGAGTGATGGCTGGGGAACCCAACGCGTTGGAAGAAAGCGAGCAACCATGGGCACACAGTTTGGGTGAAAAGGGCGGGTGGTTTTCCAAGCCCGATTTTGCCAGTGTTTTGACTGGCGCCGTGTAAGGCCATATTTTGCGGGTATATTTCCTTACATAGCCCTTACATAGCCCTTACATGGCCCTTACATTGGCCTATGTATGCAGGTACCTCCAATTTAGGTTCCCTGAAATGGCAATTGACAAAACATGATAAAACTTGCAGCAAGGTCCATCCATCTGGTTTTCTACTGGCATTTCGAAGCAGGACAAAAAGGATTGGAACGTGTGCTGTTAAAACAGGCCATCCTCACAACATCTATCCTTTAATGCCATGGGTGCCCAAATCCCCAGAAGTCTCCAAGAGCCGACAGCTGTTCCATTGATTTGTGTTGGCTGTGTTTGAAGGGGCCATAGGAATCTCTGTGAATAAGATGGAATAAGTAAGGGAAAAAAGTTTAAAAAAGCATGATTTTGGATTGCACCAAAAGAAAAGAAACTCATCCAGTGGCAACATTACACTGCCCCTGGCACTTGAGGTAGCACAGCCTTGAATACCAAAGCAAGTCGAGATAGCACGTCCACCTCAAGAGATTCATGCAGCAGTCGTCAGACCCAAATTGGGCCGATTGGGCAGGCTGCTGAAGTCAAGTAATTCATACCAATTCCATCCAATTCCTGCCGTTCAATGTGTTTATCACGGAAAATGAATTAGTGTCTTCTGTCTAAATGTGTGGGATTGCTGATGAGCAATGATTAGCATTGGTGCCACCCTGGCAATGCAAAAGCATACAAGGTTCATTACGTTTCCACCAAAATCATTGCCTGTGCTGTCCTATTTCAGAGGTTCGAGCTGCTCCCGAAGCTAGAGCTTTATCATGTGGGCAGTTGCATCTACAAGACCGGCTGTGAAGATGCCATGCGGGCATGTATCGTGCACACGCGGAATCTGACTCCCAAGGCCCAAGCAGGTCTGCACTCAGTGGTCGACTGCTAGGCGCCCTGCGTGACGGACTGATTCAAAGGATTCTGGATGCTGATGGATGCTGGTGGTTCAAACAGTTTTTGAAGATACCCCAGCTGTGCGTTTTCAACCCCATCTGGGATGACGTCCCAAGTGATGCGTTTGGATAGGTTGTCCATTGGCACCAACCAGCCATATGTTGTGATACTAAGCATTTCCAGACATGTAATTATGAACTAGATAGATTATGGAAACCATTGACCCGTATAGATCAATGATGAATCTCAAACCTGGAAAAAAGTCTCCAAAATACCAAATAGTATATAAATAGTTTGAAATGACAGCCAAAAATCATTGCAGTCCAGAATGCGCGACTTGTATGCAAGAAGATCCTGCAATGGATATGACTTCCTTGATGATTTCCTAGTCAATTCCCTGCGGGGGGCTGCTTTGGTGGCTGAGTCCATCAAGAGTGGTTGCAGGGCCAAATGTGAGTCTCTCGTGATGAGGCTTTTCAAACCTCATTTGAAGCACAACACACACACACACATACATACGTATATATATATATATACACATGATATACAGGCATGTAATGAATGGGACAGCTGATTGACAGCCAGACTCGAGAGAGAAGGGGAGAGAGACAGAGAGAAAGCGATGAGAGAAGAGTAGAGCAGAGTCGAGTAGAGAGCAGTAGCGTAGAGGAGAGCAGGCGAAAGTAGAGTCCCTCGTTTCGACTCTTTTGACATCTTCAAGTCGAACTTTGTGAAGATGCCTTGCACAAAAGAGTTGTTTCGACAACTTCGAGGAAATCTCGCACGAAAGCTTCATTTTCACACGGTCAAGTTATATTCGTGAAGGAAGTCTCGGCGTCTCTCGCGAAAGCTTTGTTTTCACAACTTCTACGCGCAGTTTTTGGACGAAGCCTTGCACGATGCATGAACTCGTGTCTTTTGCGCCGAACGCACCCGAGAAAATGAATGGCTAAGGTGAGCCGCGTCTTTCGAAACGATCTCGCGTCATTCTCGGATCATGGTCGGGTCGGCCGCGCATAGGAGGTTTCGATATGTTTCGATTAGCGTTGTCTTGTCCGGTTTTCGCTACGCGCAATCGATTTGCTGGGTCGTTGCTTCTGTGACGCTGCAGACAGAAACAGAAGTGCCCTTTCAGAGAACTCTTTAAGATCCTTGGCGAAACCAGATTTCTGTGGGCCAACTTCACGTGTCCCCTTTCGACCCCTAGGGGCAGGCAACTTTCATTTGTGGTAGGTCTCCGACAGTAACTCCCAGCTTGCCAGCCATTGCTTCCATCCATTCCAGCATATTCCAACCATGCGCACCAGGTGGAAGTCCTTCTCCGGGAGACACCGTGCCTCGCTGCAGACAGAGGGTGTCACCAACATCGCTGCAAAATGTCTCACCCTGTGCATAAATTTGATGCCATTTAATGCCACCCAAAAATCCCAACATGAAGAAACTACACAGTTTGATCAGTTTGATTAACAACTAGGCGACCCCTAAACATCCTAAACATCAGTTGCTGATTCTCCAATGTTTGGCTCGTTGGGGACACCAACCTTTTGGATCCTTTTGGTGTATGGGGCTGAGGCGGTGATCCTCGTGGCATCTTGGCCGGAATCTGAAGATCCCCCATGGAATTCCATCCCACCTGGCTTAGAAATCCACATTTGGAGATGTTTTGAATATTTTTAAATATGTTTGACTTTTTAAAGAGAGGACATCACCGACATAGAATCATAGAGGGAGATACAAAAAGAGGATCTCCAATTTGGGTTGCGCGGTCAACCACACCGCCAGGTCCCATTCGAGTTTGCTGCTCTTACGCCCATACATCCACAGTCCTAATTATGATTGACACGCGCTTATGCACCTGCACACAGAGATGGTATCAAACACAAGTTAGAACAAGACTTCAATGGGGAAGGACTGGATACAATATCAAACAAAACTTATATGAAATTATGGTGGTCTTAGTTTAGTATGTTTAGTGGGGGGGGGTTGAGAGGTTTGGATGGCATTCAAAGCATCAGGAGTCTGGGAGTGAGTTGGCCACGTTGTTGCTGATGCAGCACATCTAAGTTTGTATATACTCGATTATACTCGTATATACTGTATACAATTATGATTAATTGTGAAGATGCATCTTAGCATGCATGTAGTTAACATCGTCCCTCGGCTATGGGCAGAATCAGCCCCTGGCTGCCGGCCGCGCTCAGACTTCCTCGCTTCCGCTACTTGTTGCGGCTGAGGATTGGGACGACACGCTTTCTCCTACTAGTTGGGTCTTCGAGCAAATCCGTAAATGCCCGGACAACAAAGCCCTGGCAGCGGTTGAGAAGCACCTTTGTCCAGACCAGTTTTTGCCGGGCTTTTAGTGTGCCGGTGCCAGGACAGGCCAATTAACAGTGTATACAGATCGAGGTGAAAGTAACAGCACAGAAATTCATGTGGATAAATGGATATAAATGGCAAACAAGGAGGATCAGTTTCACGGAGAAGCACCGGTGCACTTGTGAAAGTGGAAGCTGCAATACTCGGGACAGCTATGGGCCACAGGCGAACAGATCGGATGAAACCCTTGTCTTAGGTCTGAATTCCCCCGAATGAAATGGGATTTCAATGGATTTTCCCCCGAATAAGATGTGATTTCATGATTTTCCACATCAATTTCCCCTTATTGTCATAGATCCTGCGGCCATATTTTTCCCGCGCTCAGGGCCTCGGAGGACCTCTTGCGGGAGTCACTCGGTAGTTGATTGACAAGTTGATCGACAAATACATTGTGGAAATGGGAGGCTAAGAGCATATGACATATACTGTACGTACAACATCGTATAACATGTATTGATATGATTTACTGTAACATCTATATATAATTCATTCCACGTTTTTTCGTTTTGACGTGGCCCAGGTGCTAGCTTCCTGTTCTTCATAAGTTGTTTGAGATCCTTTATGAGCGTTGCGGTTCGAATGGCTTCAGCCGGACAGAGATTTGGATGATTTGGGGATCCTGAGGATCCAACTTTCAAACCTTGGGTTTCAAATTTTAAGGATTTGTATTGGAAATTTGTAAGGATTTGTATATTAAATCCCTTGGGTTTTAAGGAATTGTAAGGATTCAATTGGGACACCCAGGCATTCCATGACCGTTGTGGCTTTCCTGCGCGCTGCTCGTGCCTGTGCGCAAGTGGCGGTAGTGACTTTGGCCACCGAGGACTGGGAATAGACAGGAATGGAATACAGACATCCCATGATTGATCCCATCCCCTCTGTCCCAATGACGAGTTTTTCTTTTTGTTCGATGGAAGTGTTGCCAAATGAAATTCATGTCATGTTTCAAGTGCTGCTATTGCAAAGACGCTGACACCTCAATCCCGGATGATGCAGGATTTCTTCCACCAAAGTGCAGACACCTTTCTGCACGAGGTTCGTGTCAAAGACCTCTTTGAAGAACTAGGCAAGAAGCGGTATCAGTGAAGAATTTGGGAGGGTCTCCAGTATTCGCAGTGGTACATTGCGAATAGGAATGCGTGCCGAGTGAAACCTATACTCAACTGTTTGCGCTGCTTTTGAGACGTTTGAACTTGAACCTTTAAAAGAATGAAGAAAGGGTGGTGGGTGGTTCCAGGTTGCAACAGGTCGATGTCTCGGCATGCCTTGACAAACTCCAGTGGGCTCTTTGCTTTGCCTGCTGCTAGGGGCTGCCGGGTTGCCAGGCATCGAGGTACACTTCGCGGAGCGCCCAGCGCAGGTGTCGTTTCCTGCCGCTGCTCGGTCAAATGCCGTGCGGAGGGAGGTGGAGATGGGATAGGTTTGGCATCACTCGCGGATCGAAAGAGAGAGAGAGAGAGAACTATACTATGCTCACATGACATGAGTGTAGTGAACGGTATTAAAAAAACACTATTTTTATGTCATCTGCCAAGTGCACTTTTTTTGACACAAAAAAATAGCGCACATGTCATTTGCTTTAGGTACCAAAAGTACCATACCTATTTTTTTGCGATAGGTTTGTGTTACGCCCGCCAACCGAAACATATGAGCTCATGACATGCGATCTCCAGCCCATCTGGGAAAAAAAACACCAAAAACATATGAAACACATTGGCTTGCCCTATGACGCCTTTCATTCACGTGATATTCACCTGTATGTCATGTCATCACATATATGGTTGCGCACCAAAAACACAAAAACAAAATGCACACACGCAAAGCAATGTTAAAATGATGAAATAGGTGGGGAAACCTCATGACGTCTAATGATAGAATAAAGAAATAGGTGGGGCCATGTGGGGCTGACTTGACCCCCTCTCCCTCCTCCCGTCCCCTCCACGGGGTTCCTTTTTGGCAATTTTCTTCTTTGATGGGTTTTAACGGACGATCTGGCCTTCAAGCAAGATTGCAGACAAACAAAAAAAAATCAGGGAAGGCCGAAACAAAATTATATTATTGTAAAGCGGTTTTGACCCCGTTCACCTTGTGGTGACGACACCAGGCCCCCAGAGCACATGACATGAGCTCTCAACCAAAGACACGGGAACGTAGAAATTAATATTGCAAGCTGGTTTTGACCTCAGTTCACCTTGTGGTTTCCACACCAGGCCCCCAGAGCATATGACATGAGCTCTCAACTAAAGGCACGGGTAAGCTGGTTTTGAGTGGTGAATGAGGAAAAACGGCTGGGCATATTTCTCCAAAAGCAGCAAAAACACCAGAAAACCAGCACAACGTTTGAAGACAATATATCCAACACACATTCATAACACAATTTAGATTTTAAATTATGCCCAAAGTGTCCAAACACATGCACAACACATTCAGAACATAATTATGAAACATACATATCTACAGATTTCCTGAAATAATATAAAACCATATAAAACCCCGTTTCTTTATTTCCCCATCATATACATTCATATACACACCATTTCTCATTTACTCGTTGATACTCGTTGTGTTTTTCCCGTTGCGGTTACCTGGAGCCTGCTCGCCTGGAGGAGGCCTCCCTTTGCAGCTGTTGTGTTCCCTGTCGTCTTCTCGTTGCCAGCCATGATCTGGCCCGCCTGTTGACGGTTTTGTTCCCCGTTGTGTTTCCCTCTATCTCTTCACCATTTTTCACCTCTTGGGCCAGGTAGCTGGTCCCCGTTTTCGTTCTTCCCCGCCTGTGTGCGGCTTCAATCCAGTTGATGGCTCGGCTGCAGACAGTGACATAGCCATTTACCCACAGTTTTCTCCTTTCCATCCCTGGTTTTGGTAGTTGATTGCTGTTTGGAAAGTGTAAGGGCCCTTAGAGCACGTGACATGAGCTCTCAACCAAAGACACGGGAACGTAGAAATTGAATGAAATTGATATTGTAAGCTGGTTTTGACCTCGGTTCACCTTGTGGTTTCGACACCAGGCCCCCCGAGCACATGTCATGACGAGCTCTCAACTTTCTAAATCTAAATTAAATTTTAAAATATATTTAGACATGGCAATCAAGCGTGTAGGAGCAGGTGCAAAGATTGAGCTAAAGGCTCACTGTCATTTTATCAAGAGCATTCCCGAAGACAGAGTTGAGAACTCACCTCATGTGCTTTTGTGACGTAGGCAGCAAAACCTATCATTATTATTTTTTGGTTTCGCCCTTGTGCAGCAGTGGTGCATGGACACATGACTTGGTCATAAGCGACCAAACATGTCTCATGTCATATGCTGACAAAAAGCCCAAAAATGGCGGCACACAAAAAATAATCGGATGGTCGACAACTCTCAAGTCATCTGCCTGCTCATGTTTCGGGTCAAAAACATGCTTGTCATCTGCTCAACGTACGGGGTAAAAATCACCACTTATTCCGACGTCATCTGACCCTAATATAAACTAAAGATTCAAACAGTTTCAAATGACATATTATGACATACATGGATTTTATGGGACCCAATGGGAATGTAGAGGATGTAGTGACACTACAGCTGGACTTGGCCAATTTGGGAAAACACGTAGTGACGTAGTGAACAAAGAATGGCCAGACCTGCATGAACAAAACGGGCCGTGCATATGGTTTCCAGTAGTTTCCGGGCAAATCCACATAGATATGACATATAGTGTTAATCAAGCTAAGTGACTCCGACTATCAGTGCTTCGATTTGTTGCGTTTCTGATGATCAGAAGAGGAGGTGACCGCGTTTGCTCATCGTGGTGCTCTTCCCAGTCAGAGTTTCTCTCACATGATGGTGATATACACTATGGAGAACTTACAGGATAGTCTTCTGTGGGAGATTCGGTTCACGAAACCTGTTGGCATGATTTTGTCAATTCCCCAGGGGTGAAATGGACTGACTGCGAAGTAGTGGGTTCACAACCAAGGAAATCGATGCCAAGAAAAAGGCAGCGGAATGGGCACATGGGCCAGGGACCAGGTGACAACATGTGACAACAAGGGAACATTTTGGCAAGAAGACCTTGACGATCTTGATGCGTTTCTTCTAGCGCTCGGATTCCTACTGCAAAGAGGCTCTAGTTATTGTCTCACGCGCCGCAATCCCTGAGTTTTTGAGCTTGTTCCCCATGTCGTGTAGCGGATCGCTTTAGCATACTGACATTGGTTTGGCTAATCCAGATGTCAACCGCTCGGATGTGCGACTGGCCCAAGGTCTTGCCACTTGGGTGAGGCCAATTCATTTCCGACTTACTTAGTCCATTTATTGACGTGTCAATTATATGAATGATATTGTGCTACGGTTGACTAGTCACTGGGCCCCTTTCTCATTTGATCCAAAGGGGAGGCTTTAACGTGCCGCATGAGCAAAGGAGTAACAGTGAAGAGGCACAGATGGCAGTTGCCAAAGACCAGTCACCAGGTGTACTGTTTAAATCTGAGACTCCGAGACCTTGACCAATTTTCATCCGCAATTTCATCCAAAATTTCATGAGGATGATCGTTTCGACAGTTTGTTAGCATTTGGCAGCCCAATCAACATCAAAACAACCCATTTTCCCTGCCCTCATCTTTTTCCCCCCAAGTGGGAGCAGCCCATGGGCCAAAAGTCTTCCATGGGATGTGCTCGCTCCACGCGATCGGCGGACACCTACGCTCCGGAAGTGGCGGAGGTGGCCGTCAGCGCCCGCCTCACCGGCTCCAGCCGCTCCAGCCGAGGCGCAAAGGCCACGGCGGCCACAGCGGCCACGGCCGCCACGGCGGCCACGGCGGCCACCGGGAGCGGCCAAGGGTCCAAGGCCAAGGAGGAAGCCACTGAACGGCGGAGGGGTGAGCAGCGGAAACTTGTCTTTCTGGGAGATGTCCATATTTTTTGGAGGGGTTCAGTGGTGTGTGGATGCTTTCATATTCTGATTGGGACATATTGGGACTCCAACGCTTTAATCATGTTTTTTGACATTGCATGGTTTGGATTCCTGGTGGTCCAGAGGACTGCGCAGGGAAGCGGTCTGAAAAACTCCAGGTCTCTGCTCTGTAACTTTTTAGACCCTCTGGCAACGAGCGGAGCGGTGATCTTTTCGCGGGAATTTGCACCAGAGTAGCGGTGGCAAAACCAGAATTGTCACCATCCATTTTCAGCAGCATGATTGGCGTCAAAGCACTTCCAGCGTCATCATGTATTGGATTGGATTTTATCCAATTCAATCAGGTAACCAACATGGTAAACTGCATGAAACTGCCTCAATCGGCTTTTTGCCTTCTGCTCTCTGGCTCCTGAGGAAGCCCCGCGTGGATTGTTGGCGTGGCGACCGCAAACCTTTGGTGCGTGATGACGAGGCGCCAGGTGCAGCTCCAGGGGCTCCAGCTCCAGCTGCACAACGGCCACAGTCGGTTGCGGCACCGCGGAGGAGCACCGGAGCCGATGCACCGCGGAGCGGCGTTCCAGCAACCCTTTCGGTGTCTTGGTCGTGTAGTGTGCTGTTCGGGAGGTACTCATTGACTGAGTTTGTAGCAATCCGGAGATGCCTTCAAGAGTCGGTAGACTCCCAGTTTGCGAAATCGTTCTCAAAGGGCTTTACCCAACAACCTTAAACTATATATCTTAAACATTGTTAAACTATCTTTCACTTAAAAGCCGGATGCAATCACGGAGATACTATACCCCATATTCTCATATATTCTCCGTTTTTGTGGTCTTCAACCAGATGAATGTACCGCAATGATCCATCCACAATGATCCATCCACAATGATCCATCCACAATGATCCACCAATATATCTACTGTCAACACCTGTTTTCTTCCAATGCGTCACCCGTTGACCACGTGTTTGACCACCCGTTCACCAGGTCACCCCACAGCCTGGTACCGGACGTGGCTCGACCCCCGTGCCGGCGCGGCGCAGCTCCACAAGCGTTCCAGCACCAAAGAAGGACTCGAACCCAGCGAAGCGAAGCTCCAAAGGCAAGGGAAAAGGCGAAAAAGGCCAGGCGAAACGAAGGGAGACTGTGACATACAGAAGGAATTTCTGAATCGAATTGAATGTTTGGAAATGTTGTAGATCTGATTAAGCATCTCTTGATTCAAAGATGAACTGGGCTGCAATCTTTTTCTGCGCGATGGTAGGTGCCAGATTCATCACTCGATTGTATTGCCATACTGACGTGTGCCAACTGTACCGCACAAGATCTTGCTGTGCCAATTGGTTTGTGTGTAGCATGGTCGGACGTCTCCTCTCCATATCTTTCCATAATGTCCACTTCGTAAGACTGCCATGGCGAGGAAATCCAAGTGTATATTCATGACCTTTCATGACTCAGGTTTGCCAGCAAAAGCGATAGATCTGGACGAGCACGAAAAAGCGCTGCTCAATGAAGTTTTAGATGCATCCCCTGGTGTGTCCTGGGATGCCATTGCTGGATTGGAGGAGGTGAAGCGTTTCTTGGCAATTCCGCCCAGTAGATTGGCATTTGGCGTGATTATGGAACTTATGTATGCCATTTTAAGGATATTTAAGATTATTTAAGGTTCATCATTAGGGATAGTATGGTGCCAAAAGCATCCAAAAGCAGCAAAGTTGCAACCATTGATCTAAGGTTGCAGCATTCAGAGGCTCGCACCCAATAGAAAGCCAGAGTGCTTTCAACATGAACTGATACTGCAATGGACACAGATGACCTCACAAACATTGGTTGGCACTGGTTGGCACTGGTTGGCACTATATATCCTATTTCCATCTATTTCCCCATGTTTCACAGCCGGAAAAAGAGTGTCCGATACTGTTCGCAGTGACAACCAAGCCATGCCCCCCTGTTTGTCTCAACTCACATTAATTCACCACCAAAAAGCCTGAGGTCTCTTTTGGGAGATCGTGGTGGCTCCAGTCAAGAACCCGTTGCTCTTTTCGGGTGTTCGCAGCCCCCCACGCGGCGTCCTACTTTTTGGGCCACCTGGCAATGGCAAGACCATGTTGGCCAAGGCTGTGGCCAGCGAAGCTCGACAGACACCGGTCAACCTGGGTTGGCTGCTGCTGTTAAAAGGATTATGTGACGTGTAATTAGTATTATACATAGTATTACGACTAGAAATTTTATATATATATATATATAATATATATATATAATATTGCGCGCAGGTTCGACCAACTCAGGTGTTCTGAGCATCGGAAGACTCGGACATGTTCTGGAGGCATATTTAATTATTTAGCCAATCATTATTAAAGCTATGGGGCATCCTGCATGTAACAGCATTGAAAGCCGAACGATGAAATGCTTCCCTCTGCCTTTGATAACTTGTTTTCGAAACCCTGACGACCGGAGAAGGGCGGTCTTCTCACAAGCGTCCCAAGTGGCAAGTTTGGAAATTCTGAACATTTTGTATCCGTTTGGAAGTTCATCATTCACAAAGCTTCTGATGGACGCTTGAAGTTTTCAAACCCCGGAGATTGTGCTGTGCCCCCTGATATCGCTCCTTGGATAGCTGAGAGCTTGGATGTCTAGGATCTTGCTATGTCATCTATGTCAAGGGCCATGTTAAGGGCCATGTCAAGGGCCATGTCAAGCTGAGGAATGCAATGCGACCTTCTTTAGCATCTCAGCCTCATCCTTGGTGTCCAAATGGGTGGGCGACTCGGAAAAACACATGCGGGCCCTGTTCAGTGTGGCGGGGAAGATGCAGCCCTCAGTGATTTTTATGGATGCTTGGTGGCAGGGGACTGGATTCGGTGACAGCTGGCTTTGTCATGGGCCAAGGCTTTGGGACCTTGCCATGTTCCATGGTGTTTTCTTAGTTTTGCTGAAATATGCTGATAATCGTAGCTCAGGAGGTCCGATAACCCTGACTTCAGCTGGAATCATGAGATATGATCGAGAAGCTATGAAGGGCTTTAGCCTCAGGGTGTGGGCAGATATATATATATATATAATTTTCACATGATTGTAGATTGCAGCGTGGTAAACTTCCCGTTTTAGTATGTTTCAGTGGCATGCCGCCTGTCTCGGTCGCTCGCCTAGGCCATAGAAACCCTTGTATATGAAAGAAGTTCGTAGGTTACAATGCACAAGTTATTGCCAAGAGCTGCCCCTCTTGCTTTGTGATTAATTTATTAGTAATTACTACATACATAATGCACACATATTCTATAAGTATTTGTTGTTCACATACACATATGCACACACACACATATACATATATAAATATATATATATATACACGCACACACACACATATATATATATACATACGTACAGACAGACAGCCAGACAGGCAGGCAGGCAGACATACATACATACATACATACATACATACATACCGTAAATACGTACATACATACATACATACATACATACATACATACATACATACATACATACATACATACATACATACATACATACATACATACATACATACATACATACATAATCATACATACATACATACATACATACATACATACATACATACATACATACATACATACATACATACATACATACATACATACATACATACATACATACATACATACATACATACATACATACATACATACATACTACATACATACATACATACATACATACATACATACATACATACATACATACATACATACATACATACATACATACATACATACAACCATACATACAACCATACATGCAACCATACATGCAACCATACATGCAACCATACATGCAACCATACATGCAACCATACATGCAACCATACATGCAACCATACATGCAACCATACATGCAACCATACATGCAACCATACATGCAACCATACATGCAACCATACGTGCAACCATACATGCAACCACACATGCAACCACACATACAACCACACATACAACCATACATACAACCATACATACAATCATACATACAACCATACACACAACCATACGTACAACCATACATACAACCATACATACAACCATACATACAACCATACATACAACCATACATACAACCATACATACAACCATACATACAACCATACATACCATAGATACATTACATACATTACTTACATTTCATTTGTTACATTCATTACACACATTACATACATTACATACATTACTTGCATTACCTACATTACATACATTACATACGTCGCATACACTACATTACACTACACTACACTACATTACATTACATTACATTACGCACACACACACATATATATATATAATTATATATATATATATATTGAGACAGCTACACAAGCACAAACACACACACACATATGCATGTATATGAGATCCGCTCTAAAATGCGCCAAAAAAGGATCTTTTAAATCCGAAGAACATAAATACTTGTGCAGGGATGTATTTTTGATTTTGTTAGAAGGCGGAGTCCTGTATATTATAATATGATTATGCAATAAAATTGCTTTCCTGCAGCTTAGCGCTGGATTTGCACTAGTGTAGCGCTAGATACTTTTACATAGCTATTCAACTGAAACACAATCAGGCCCGATGCTTTCTTTTCCTCTTGCTTTCTCACACCGTTGTTCCCGGTCCTGCTTGGGCAACTCCACAGCAGCCTTTCTTTTCATGAATCTCACTTTTTTTTTTGGCCAGCATCACAAACGTGACTTGTGAAGATATGCATTCAAGTTTTCAATGGTTAGGCTGGCGGTAGATCCGCGCTAGATCCGCGCTAGATCCGCGCTAGATAATCGCTCCAAGAGTACGCAGTTGCCCGTCGGTCAGCTCACCGGACTTGAAAACGCAAGAGCAGTGTTTGCTTCTAGCTGGTAGCAGCAACTGGGATGTGGGCCATGGAGTCTGCGTTGTTAGACTTAACAAAGGAATCATGGAGGGTGTGATAATTAGTGCTTCCAGTACCTCCAGCAGCTCGAGCTAAAAGAGCCGTGCGCTAGCTACGTTTGCAAGAGTTTGATGCAAAACAACTTTCTCCACTCATGTTTAAGGTCTGTTGGAGCACTTGAGCTTTAAAGGCAGGGTCCTGTAAATACGCAGTGAAGGTGATTTTCGTCCGAGTCCGGGAAAGGACTTTGGAGAAGTATGTGCACGTAAATAGGTCCATGTGTGCAGGTCTGTGTTGTCTTTTAAATGGGACATAGTCCATGTTAGTTATCTCAGAATATCTCAGATATTTCATCCCTCCACGGACTCTCATCCTCCCGAGGACGAAATCGACTCCATGCTCACCAGCCGTTCCAGCGGGGAGCATGAGGCCGCCCGACGCCTGAAGACGGAATTCCTAGTGCAGCTGGATGGCGCCGGAACCAGCGAGAGCACGAGGATTTTGCTCCTGGGCGCGACCAACAGGCCATGGGACGCGATGGATTTCGGAGATTTTTGGATCCTCTGAGATTGCTGGTTTGTTAGAGCAGCTTCATGGTCGGAGAATTTTGACGATGTACAATCTTACTTACCATTACATTACATCCTTCCAGTGCACTGCACTGCATTCCATTACATAACATCTAGTTAATTACGTAACATAACGTGAGACCACAGTGCATGGCATTACATAACATTAAATTGCAATACAGCGAATTACATTCAATTACATTACCGTACATCGAGTTACATTACAGTAGATTACATTACATGCATGCACACATACAGACGCACACACACACACACCCATGTATATTTATGTACATACACAGTAGCTTGTATATATGTATATATGATTATTTATGTAGTTATTATTTTCCCAAGATTATACGCAGTAAATATACGTGTATGTGGGTGGATATGCACATGTATATGTACATGTGTATTATACGTAAATGTATAAATGTATATGTGCATGTACATGTACATGTATAATTATTATGTATAAATCTATGTAGATGCATATGTGCATACCAGCTGTAAATGTATATGTGTATGTGTATATGTACACGTACATGCAACATGTATAATATGTATTCGTATACGTATACGTATATGTATACGTATACGTATACGTACAGGTATATGTATACGTATACGTATAGTATATGCAAAGTGTAATATGTAATATGTAATATGTAATATGTATATGTAATACCTCTAAAAAATCACTTACAAAATCTAACATTAGTATATGTATACATATAGAGCAGGTGGCTTTCCATGATTAGCATTTTTTGTAGAAAAACCACATGCCCCAGGCACAAACCCAAATCAAGTTGCGCGTTGGGATTTTGTAGACATGCAGGTTTCTCGTTTAAATGCTATGATTTTGGTTATTTTGTAGGGGCAACTTTTTGGTTTTCCAGAAAGGTGTTTACAACAGGTGAAGCCCCAACCAGCCCCACGAGGTTATTTTTTTGGGGCATTATATGTGTATGTATATGTATATGCGAAGACTTGAGGTATTGCTTCAGGATACGTTGCTTACAAGGTGCGATTGCCTAGGCCTGATCTAGCGGTTGCACCATTGGAACATATGTTAGTGCAAAGTCTTCGAAGGTTCTTACAGAAAGGTGACAGTGTATTTGTATCGACGGTAGGCAGACACTTCAAAGGATACTATTCCAAACTAGCTAAGCTACATCATTGCATCCTTTGAGCTCACATCGCTATAGAAAACGACCCATTTGTAGATGTTTTACCTGTTATATCTATGATCATTTTCCATACACAAATTACCAGAAGCTATGCCGCTTATCATTTCTATTCCCATATTCATGGTCAACCCTGAGTCAACCCCGTATAATTATGTATAATTGATATATGGCTATTAACCATTCTGAATGCTTATTAACCACTATCAACAATGCTTTCACTTTCAATGCCATTGGTTCGTCCCATGGTTTTTTTCCCCGGGTGCTTCAGGCCAGGCGAGCTGGACGATGCCGTGCTACGGCGCCTGCCGCGTCGGATCCTCATTCCACTGCCGGATGGGGCCACGCGAGGACTGCTGGTGAGTCACTTGGTGACTAAGGACAGTGGCGATGGCCCATGATGGCCCTAGTTCTTTTTTTTTAAGCCCCTGAAAGGATATCATATTATAATATAGACAATATATGACAATATATGACAATATGGATTTATAAATATAATATATAGATATCTAGACACACACACACAAAACCACCAAAAACGATACTGTAGGAATTTAAAACATTGGCAATTGGTCGCTATAATTATTCAATAGGGTTTCGCTTTTCATATATATATATATATTTTTTTGAGGTTGCTATTTATATATGCATATAATGATACAAAAGTAATCAACAGAATATACATAATACTACGAAAAACAAAATAATAGATAGTTGCTAATAACAATAGAATTGATAATACGACTACTAAACTGCTAGTGACAATTAATTTGATGTATGCTAAACACCTCCCTATACGTATACACAAATAGGGGGAGAGAGAACAAGGGAAATGCTATTCAATTTTTGAAGCAAACAACGACATACATACCCTCGTCTGCGAAATCCTGGTGCCGCATCCTTGCGCCGGCGTTGCTGATGACTAGCAGCAAAGGGCATTGTGGAAGGATGATGTTGTATGGTATTGGCCTTGAGTTCGCATAGTTTTGTTGACTACACAAACAAACAGCAACGCCATGAAAAGACCGGTTTGCTTTGTGCCGTGATCTCGAGCCAGACCTGTTTAAATTATGTGGTGCCCATGTTTCCTGTTTATGTCACGCCGCTCTTCAACGCTCCATGACAAGGCAAAGAGCTACAAGGGACAAGACATTCCTTGAGCACCGCTGACTTCACCAGGCTGGGGAGCGATCCAGCTGGATGCTTGGGGTTGGAGCGTATTGTACAGTGACATGACATCTACGAAGCACCAAGGATGGTTTCTCTCGGGCTGTTGAGGTGGAGCTAGATCTCTTTTCACTTCCAAAATCCAGCTGAGAAGGCTTGTAACAGTGGCTTATCTATTATATGGACAAATATTGACAATAATATAATATTATTATATATATATTATATTTCTATCATTTTTTTGAATGTTTTTAAAGGGTATGCAGGGTATCCCGTTGGAATCCAACAGGATGTTCACTCAGCTCCTGTCCGTTGAGCCAGGCTGGCCAGCATGACGGATGGCTATTCCTGTTCGGACCTGGCGGCTTTGACACGCGAAGCAGCCATGGGCCCAGTGCGGAATTTGCGGCCGGAAGCACTGGCATCCTGGCGAGAAAGGGAACTGGGATGGAATTTGAGAAGCGTTTGCATCATTTTTCCTGGCTGCAGCAGTGAAACACATTTTGAGGGAAGGCTGGTGGTAAAGACCTGTACGATCTTGTTCGACTCTAATCCTCAGCCCTTTCAACACTCAGGTTTCGGCCACGCCAGAGGGTGTACGTGCAATCACGTTAGCTGATTTCAGGGAGGCAATCCAAAAGGTGCGCCCCAGCGTGTCCAAAGAGGTTCTGTCGGAGTTTGAAAGGTGGAATCGCGCCTATGGAAGTCGCTGAGCATGGCTGAGCAGCATTCATAGCTATTTGATGTTATTTGTATGATCCATTATGATCCTATTTTGTTTCTGTTTAAACGTTTTTTTTTGGTCGTGAGTCACGGACGTACTACATGAGAACAAGCCATGATATGCCAAGGGGCCACGATGTGCCTTGACAAATAGCACAAGTCAAACAGTACTCCGAGAAATCAGCCGCATCAGTGGCAACAGCCATGTCACCATCACACAAAGGTGTGCATGGTCGACTCCTGCGCAAAGAATCGACTGAATCGACGCGTATCGGAAGCTGATTGCGGCTGTCAAAATGATCCGCTCGTTGGGGGATGTGAGACAACTTGGGCACAGTACACTTGTCCATTTGCGTAATCCACCCCCTCAATGAAAGTTTTGCGTCCGGATTTGTGAACCACCGCTCTGATGACATTCTTTCGACATTTTGTGATTCCCAACAATTTGATGAACCAGCATGAAGAGGACTCTATGTCTATGGCATCCCATGGCATCCCATTCTCTAAAAATTTGGGCCTCCAAGCTGGTTCACCCCTGGCAGGCGATGAGCCAGTGCCTCTCAAAGTTTTATGCAGGGCGTCACCTCACAAGGTAGGGCTGTGCTGCAACAAGTTGCCTGTTTGCAGATGTTTTCCCACTTCTTCTATAGACTTTTGTTCAATTACATCTATTGGGAGCCTTGAACACAAGACACGCCTGTATTGTCTACGCTGCGCGTTCATATCCATGTTCACATCCATTCATATTCATGTCACGAAAGCTAGCCTCAACTAGTTGGAGTTACTCTTGCTATAGCAAGGAATTGCTCAACAAGTCTGAACATACCCCACGAAGCCTGTTTTGGGCACTTTCAAGCCTTGGAAGGGGCAACTTTTTTCCAATCTATTTTGTAGACAGCCCTTATTTGGTGGTTTTTAATGATCTTTGTTTTGTATTTTGTAGTGGGCAGCCATTTTGGGTTCCCTAGACTTGTATTTTGTAGTGCATTTGGAGCTACTCTCCTGGATGGATTTGTATTCTGTAGACCTCTTTTCTCTACAAAATCATCTGTCAGCACCTTCTCCCGAAATGAGCAAGGGGATAGAATATTTAATTTAACATTTAACCAAAAAATAATATAATCTATTTACCTTAATATACGCTGATAAACGCTAATATACGCTAATACCCCTAATGATACTTGACAGAAGGCTCCCATAACTTGCAACCAAACTTTTGTGAGGGGAAGCATCAACCAATGAGGGCAATAGGTTGGACATTCACAGCACGTTACATACTTCACAGCTGTGTCACCTCGAACCGGAATCCGGGGTCCCTCTGTCAGGTGGAACGTCTTGAGCGTTGGGGACTCTGCCTCATGGCAGCCGTTACGGCAGTTGTCCGTATCAGTGGAAATCTTGATTGTCCCCCCTCTACCTGCCCCAGCTGTTGTTAATTCTATAATTACAGTAATCCTAGATATCTATCAAATTCTATCAATCTATATCAAACTATATGATATAATTATAGTTTATGATTCAATCAATCTACAGTATGTAGAACACACACAGACACGCGCACACATACTCATCTACTGTAGATATAATATGATTTTATTATGTTTAATAGTATGTAACATACAGTATGTATCTATTGATTATACATTTATCCGCGCACATTATACGAATGTTTTCAATTGTATTCAAACGTATGATTTGACAGCTTTGATAGATCGACAATCTTGACACAGAGGCATGCCAGAAGTTCTTTGGTGGCACGAACTTGTTGCCCTCTTGAACCCGTGTGAAGCCAATGTCGGAAAGTCCAAAGTGGTCTAGAAGTGATGGTGTTTCCTTGAAGGGTTTTCAAGTGCAGGTGACTGCAGGTGACTTGGGGTGAGGGGTTTGACCCAATTCAATGGTGCTTTCCAATTCTTAGGAAATTGAATTGGAAGCTTTGAAGAGTTTGCTGGGCAGCAAGTGGCGCTCTCCGCCGCTGGGCGTTGAACTACGAGTGGATCGGTGGCCACTGGGAGTATGCCAGTATTCCAACTCATTCACTCATATAATGTATTTAATTGGAGAACATCAGGAAGTTTGGGGTGCCAGGGTAGGGACTTGTGATGATTTGCTTTTCTCTTTTTGATATTGTAGCATGAAATGTATGCGCGCGCTATGTTCGCACGTATATTACCTTGGTTTATTAGCACGGACGCAAAATTTTATGAGAAACACATGGCACTGCAACAGTTTTGACCCTTCTATATCATTCAATACCAGACATACATGTGTATGACTTGTGCTTCAAGATCTTGGTGCTTGTACACATGGCAGACACATGCATTCATGTCTGCCATCCCCATGAGTTTTGGAATGATCAGCACGACCCTGCGATGACAGTCCTATTCCACGATTCCACGGATGGCTGATCTGAGGTTATGCAAAACGGTGAAATTCGATGCGCGACCAACGTTGACCCAGCAACTGGGGCAGCGGTTGGGTCCCTCCCAAAGGGACGGGCTTTTGGGATTTGGAGGCGGCACGTTGCCACTGTTAGACCCTAAGTGGCCCTACAGTGCCCTACAGCAATCCCCATTTGTAAAGTAGCATTCGTGGATCTTGCATTGCCCATGTTGGATTTCCGTCTGCCAAGGCTCACAGCCCAATTGAAGAGCGTGACCCCGAACTTGGCAGTAGCTCTTCCGCAGTCTCCCCTGGAGCAAAGTATTTGACCGCCAGATGTTTCGAGGGAGATTTTCTGTGATTTTCTGTGAAGTATTTCTATCTCTCAAAAGGTCCCCGAATTTTTGAAAAAACATGATGACTGCCGTAAAACCTCATTTGTATTCATTTGTGTTTAGTAGTTTATAGGCATCCAGTGCCATCAGGATTTGAACACGTATTTGCCTTGCTTTGGGTGCAATTTCTGACTTTCAGTTGAACTCGTGAAACATATTCAACAGAGAGAGAGAGAGAGAGAGGCGTGGGCAGCCATTGGGCTTCATTTGCACTGTTTTAAATTGAAGTATTTGCCAGTGCGTCCACTACTGAGCATTGAAGCAAAGGCCATGATGGCAAGCAGCAAGAGCTTCCACATCACCAGCAACAGCAAGTGGCCTTAAGAGGCGTGTGGGGTTTTGCGATCTTGTGTGCACGCAGACAGGACGATTTTGACACGTCAGTAATGAAAAGCATTGAAAAGCGTTTGATGTTTGCTGCTATGTCCGCAGCCATGCGGACCTTTTGCCTCTTCAAGTCGATAGTTGTCCCGCTAGCTATCACTCGCTGAGTTGCATTTCCGCAACGCATACACACACACAGGCACACATTGCTCCATAGTAGCTACTGTACTGACTGCGCTGCTCCTTTACAGATCTTTACAGATTCGTTTCCATTCATGCCATGATACCCTCCAAGCTATTGAGTTGAAGGATGGATTGACACAGCCCGATTCACTTCGCAAGGCCAGCGGCTGGAAGCTGCTTACCAATGAGGTTGCCAGGGTTGCCTGGGCAAATAGATCTTGGATGGGCCATCAACATTTTGCTATCAACAAATTGACGCGTATACCATCACATTGCAACTTCTCAGGATACATAATCATACATACATACATGCATGCATGCATTGTATAGTATAGTATAGTATAGTATAATATAATTTAATACCAGTAGTACCGCACAAGGCGGTGGCGGAAGTTTCAAAAATAGAAACCTAAAGGAGGAGTTGGATGTTGTGAATCACGGATGGCAGAGCGAATCCACTGATGGACCGACAGGTGGTTGGAGTTGTGTTTTTTGGAGTGGTTGCAATGGTTGCAGTGGTCACCTTACCACAACTGCTGGATGTAGTGTGGTGTAGTGCAGTTGCAGCTGCAGGTGTAGCTGTAGTTGTTGTAGTGTAGTGGAACTGTAGTTGTAATGTAGTGTAATTAGTGTAGTTGCAAGCGCAGTTGCAGTTGTAGCCGTTGTGTGGTGTAATTAGTGTAGTGTAGTGTAGTGTAGTGCAGTGCAGTGCAGTGTAGTGTAGTGTAATGTAGTAGTAGTTGTAGTTGTAGTTGCAGTTGCAGCTGCAGTTGTTGTTGTAGTTGTGGTAGTAGTTGTTGTAGTACTTGTTAGTGTAATTGGTGTAGTGTAGTGTAACTAGATGTAATTAGCGTAGTGTAGTGCAATTAGTGTAGTGTAATGTAGCGTAGTATATCTGTATTTGTAGTTGTAGCAGTAGTGTAGTGTAGTGGTAGTTGTAGTTGAAATTGTCTAATATTGTCTGTCTGTCTATCTATCTATCTGTTTGTTTGTCTGCCTGTCTGTCTGTCTGCCTAACTGTAAGCTTGGAAACGCAGCAATTCCACGAGACTTCCTCAATTTTTCAAGTTGGCAACATCAAAAAAACGAAATAATTTTGCGAGACTTCATCAATTTTTGAACTTGACAACATCAAAAATGAAGCAATTCTGCGAGACTTCCTTCAAAAATGGAAAGTTGAGTGCAGAAATGACGGCCTCGTAACAATGCGTTTTGCGATTTTTCCACTCCATCTGTCTAAAGTGCTGCGCCTGCTACGAAAAGGTAATGCCAGGTCATACGAAGTGCTGCACCTGTCATGCAAAATCATCTCTGCAAACCTCAAGGCCTGATGCTCCAAAATGCAACCCCTCTCAGGAAATCAGCGCCCTGACCTCCTAACAGCTCTGATGAACATGTCTCTTGCACTGCGCCTGCCACGCGAAATGCATCTTGCCAGATCCTCTGCATATTTCCCACGCTTGCCATCGTTTTTTGAAACGGCTACAGAACCGTCACGTTTTGCTCATATTTTGACAAGCTGCGCAATCCCTTGCGCCTGCCACGCGAAATCTGAACATCCAAAAGTGTTCCGTACCCGTCATTTTTTTGCACTTTTGACTTCGAAATGTGCTTCGCGCCACAACGGCGTGCGCTTTTTCGACATCTGAACTTTTAAAAGTGGTCCGAACCTGGTGTGTTTTGCACATTTTGACTTGGAAATGTGCTTCGCGCCACAACGGCGTGCACTTTTCATCATCTCAACTTCCACAAGTGGTCCGAGCCTGTTGTGCTTTGTACATGTTGACTTGGAAATGTGCTTCGCGCCATAACAGTGTGCACTTTTTCCATCATCTCAACTTCCAAAAGTGGTCCGAGCCGGTTGTGCTTTCTACATTTTGACTTGGAAATCTGCTTCGCGCCGCAACGGCGTGCACTTTTTGGCGTGCACTTTTTCAGCTCTCATCTGACCACATGGCTCCGCACCTGCCGCTTTAGCAAGCTTACTTTTCGACCCTCCGGAGCCACAAATCATTGGAAAAAACACAGTGTTTCGCGACTTTCCTACCTTTTCGCACACCTGGATCTTCTTTCTTCTGAGACTTTCTCTTTTTTGATCTTCTTTCTTCTTCTCTACTCTTCTCTTCTCTTCTCTCCTCTCCTCTGCTCTGCTCTGCTCTTCTCTTCTCTTCTCTTCTCTGGCTCTTCCCATCTCTGCTTTTCATCTGCCCATACTGTCGGAAGTTTGACTTCTAAACTTCCTTCGGTGATGTAGTACAATGTAATGTAATATCATATAACATATACAACACTATTTTATGTACTATTTATAATGTAATATTGTATGAAATAATTTACATAATTTAAGATAATATATAACATAGAACACAACTACAGAATATCTTTTATCTAATGGTTATCTAAGAATATAATATTTCATGTATAATATATAGTATACACCATATACTACGTATGATACAATATATAACGTGTAATTCATAGTTTTTAACAATATAACGTATAACATATTAAATATAACATCTAATAAGTTTAATGTATTATATAAATTATATACTATATTCTCTATTGTATACAGTATTCTCTACTATATACAGTATATATATATATGTATATATTTATATACATTGACACGCCTATCCTTTTACAACTTGGAATCTGATTCTCCAACATCTTCAACGACTGAGAGGGAAACTATTGTTCATGGAGTAATTTTTTCAGTTTGCTGGTGTTCCCAGTTCCCTTTGCGGTTTGCAGGTTTCCTGCCTTCATTCTCAGGGAAAAAAAATATATAGATGTAAAATGGGACCAGTGGATTTGGCTCATCCCTGTTGCGGAACGGAGGGCTTCATTTTGCCATACACATTTTTCATCCTCCCCGTGCTGCCAAAGAACACTGGCAGAAACTGGGGGGTTTGCCGATGTTTGCGGTGTCTTATAAACCGAGGGAAATCCATACATTGGCATACATTGGCCGCCTCTGAAGCAGCATCTGGAATATCACCATGTCACCGATGCCACCGTAAATGCAGAGGAAGGGCAACTCTTCAAATCACTCAGACAGAATTTCAGGTGGATGAATTCATTATGAATTGGCCAGATCGATATTAAATTGGTCAGGGTTGGCACATGTGTCACACCTTTCGCGTTTAGGATGAAGTAGAGTAGTTAGTTGCTTGGCGAAGTGCATGAAAAGAGGCACCAGCATATTCAACACCCTCACAGTTGATAGGACGAGAATCCCAACTTGTGTCCAGCCAAGGTCGTTCTCACATATATCCTATTCCAGAAATGCAAGGCATGCCTAGTGATAGTTGATCAGATCTGTCGGTTCAGATGTTTCAATCTTGGCATGTAATTTGGGATTTCAACTGTGCAGGGGAGAGTCAATGTAGGCAGGCATCTTGAGTTAGAGTTAAGAAATCCCCTCACCTAGCGACCTAGCTCTGGCCCAGTCAAACTTTGATGCAGACCCTTTTTGTATTGCAAGAATTATTGCAAGAAATTGCAACGGTTGCTGTAAGATGAACGGTGTAGAGGTGTGTAAAGATTGAAGGTGTCAGACTTGGAACTTTCTGCAGCTTTGTGCAGATGGACAAGGGTTGCCACTAGCGAGAACTTCTCCAATCTTGTATCACGATCCCAAGACTGGCCCTGTGTGATCCCAGATTCTGTACCGAGTCGGCAGATGTCAACAGCTTTTCGATTTGCACAGTATTGCACAACATTGCACAGTGTAGCAGTGATTGGCTGCAACTTCGCAAGGACCGAAGATTCCTCACCTGGGCACCATTGTTCTGCCAAAGCAGATTGCATTGGTCCGCGGGTGTTTCTTCCTCTGCTCGCATCCGCATGAACATACTGCAGGCCGTTTCCGCCGATACCTAGTCTGGACATCATGGCAATGTATGGCGTTTTATTGCGCCATCCGCTGCCTACTGCTTCAAATGGCAACAGAAGCTGGAGGATGCTGGATGTGAATGCGAGTCCGCCCCCAGGATGTGGTTGAGATCATGGATGCAAAACCTGCTTTTGGTGGTTGAAGTGGAGACAAATTGATGATCTTTGATATCCTTTGATGCAATTTCCACATCATTTCCTCAGCATGCCTCAGCCACATCCCAGGAAATATATTTCCTTTCTGACGCTTGAAGGTTCAGGACGATCAGCTCGAATCTTCTCGTAGGTCTGAACGCCACGGAAGGCAGCGACTGCTAGAAGCATGTGCTGCAATGGTGAGGCAACGACACATATGCTAAGGTCGGTGATGGTCGGTGACGGTTCAACATGTCAAACCATTATAATTATAATCAGAATTAATCAGACAATAATGTGCCATGATCAGCACTGTGGTAGCCATTTTCTGCAACCGTCCCGGCATCTAAGCGATCCCGCCTTGGCAGCGGCCAGAGGTCGCAGCTGGCCGCAGCGAAACCATGACACTGCGCGCCTGGAAGATCCGGGAAGATCTGACCTTCTCATACCATATCCCTGTTCTTGTGCCACCAAGTCCATGATCTTTGGCAAAGAGTCTTTGGGTCTTTGGGCACCGTTGGTGCCGCAACTCCTGCAACAGCGTCTGGAATAGTCAGCACACGAAGAGTACCCGGCAGTGTCATGTGGGTGTCACTTGAATCGCCTCGATTTCCCAAAGCGCATCTGGCGTGGATGATCCACGACAATCTGTTGGTTGGTTCCTATAGTCCTATAGTCCTATAGTCCCTCAACATCGTCACAATTTCTTGATCGGGCATGCCTTGAAGTTTTGGCATGCAGTGGGTCTGGGTCCGAGAGCAGAATCGGAGGGATGATATGTATGT